CACATTTAATAAAAAAAATATGTAAGTTGTATAAAATAATTATATTCTTTTATGTAACTTATATTCGACCTACAATTCAAATACCTTGACAAAAAATAAAAAATAAATGAGCAATTTACAGTTATACCTAATGATATAGTATAAAATTCTCTATAAAATTAATGCTAAAAAAAATTTGGTTCTGTCAAGAGAAAAAAATGGAAGTATTTTTTTATTAAGCATTCAAGTATGTATTTTGAATATTTTTAAAAATTATCTTTTACAAGACAGCTAATATGAGTATACCTTAGTTGTAATATATAGTATTTACCAATTATAGATGTACAAGTTTTAAAAGTAAAATTACTAATAAGTAATAACCATTACTTTACACAAATACTGAAAACTGAAAATATTTTGATTACCCTAAATTAAAATTTCTGTCATACTTCTAAACGGTTGAACCAACTATGTGTGACAGGTATCTACAAACTTTGTTTCTACTTTAGAGTTTAGTTTAATGCAATTTCTTGTAATTATTGACACAGTTTCATATAGATCAGTTATAGAAATGGAAGAAGTATTTGCATAGCTTTTTTATTAGGAGGTAATATAAATTTGCAATACTATTACTAGGTATATCAAAAATGTATAGATTATATTTTGTTAAACATTGATTCTAATAATAAAATTATCAATTCTATGATTTCTATAATTTTTTCATTTTATATTATAACAAAGTATTCTGATTATCATTTATTAAAAATAGGTTTTTAATCAAAAATAGTTTTTGAATCTATTTTATATCTTCAAATTTTTTTTAATAACAAAAGTATTTAATTTAGATGTCATACAAAGTCATGGTATATTTTGTTAAACAAGAGGTATTTTACATTAAAAGTTTGATATAAATATCAAAAAATACAAGTTATATCATAGCTGTTCAGCTAATCTATTAATGTCAAAGAATTAATCAATTTATAAAAATAAATATTAATTCAGAGTTTGAGAAGTAAGTTCAATATTATTTATCTTTGTTGATCAACTTTATATCAAATACAATAATACACAGCTAATAATAATAGTCACACAAGAATTAATGAAGAGTTAAGGAAATTACATGAGCTTTACTTGCTAGAGCTGTAAAATAGCTAACCATATTATTAAAATGCTTTTGTTACCTTTTTGTTTTTTTCCCCCAATATTTAGACTACAAAGGTCTTAGGTCTATCTATTTAAGTTGATCATACGTTTGAGAAAAAAAAATAAGCACATTTGTCTTTGGCATAACATAATAAGTTTCAATAAAATGATAAAATTTGGTAATACATAGTACAGAGATATGACAGAGATAATTTTATTGTGACACACCTTGTGCATTTAAAAAACTTTAACATATAAAGTCTACCATGGATAACTATATCTATTATAAAAACAAGAGCAATTTACTTTTCATATATTTTTTTTTTTGTTAATTAAGTAGGATTTATTGATGAAAGACATTATTTTTCAACGGAATATGAAGAAAATGGTGCAATTCTCTGTTTCAATAGTAAAAACAATTCACAGTAAAACACTATTCATCAATATATCCATAGGAGAATTGTATTAGCAATGAATGATAACTAAAGACTGAACTGATGGTATGGTATTAATGACATTTTGTAAAATGCAGATAATTTATCTAAATTATAAATGTAAAGTAAATAATAAAAGAAAACAATATTAAATTAATTTGTATTTAATTGCATTTTTAATAAAATATGTGAGTTTAATGGTATAATATTAATGTAGTATAAAAATCATATCTATAGATGCCTAGCTTTTTATTTTATTAAAAATTGTTCAAAATTTAATAATTACTAATATAAATAATCTAAAATAATATTATTTTCAGTCTATGTACCTAATCCATATAATAGATATAGTAGATAAATATTACAAAGCAACTAAAAACACTAAATTTGATTTCATTAACTTAAAGATTTAGTAGTAAATAAAAACAAAAATATAAATGATCTATAATAATAAATTATAAAATGTATACTTAACCTATAAACATGTCATTATGACAGTAATTGTCATATTGTGCAAATGGAGATAGTCTTTTAAAACTGTCAAGATAATCGTAACTATCATGTTTTACTATAGTAATGTGAATTTGATTAAGAGTATAGAAAGTTATATTTAATTCATATATTTCCACTATGTATTATTATAGTAAATGAAATATGTATTAGGTTAATGAAATGCTTAACTATATTAATTTTTCATGAAAATAAACAATGTTTTATTTTTAAGGTTTTTCTAAAAAACTTTATCTCATAGCATTTTTTTTAAACAAAAAATCCCATAAATACAGTTTAAGAACTTCTGGAATATCTATTAATATTTTAGGTCTAACACAGATAGGGGTGGTAATAGGATTGTCCTATTATTTAATGATATTAGGTATTACTAGATTTTTCAGTTGATACAGGCAGAATGTTATCAATGTTATCATGTTATGGACATATTTAATGTTGAATATCAATGTATTATAATTCATAACTTTAAAAGTAATAATAAACTATCATAGTTGAAATAAATAATTATGACCGAAGCTCAAGTTTGTAATAATAAGTGATATGCATTTTAATAAATAACTAAATGCATATGTAAGGACTCATTTATCTAATATTTAATTTAAAATAAATACCACTCATTTTATTACTATAAATATATGTACATATTATACTTGTATATAACAAATCATTTAAGATATTAAAAGAAAGAAAATTAAAATAAAACTATTTTTTATAGATGATATAGTTTAACTAAAATATGTATCTATTATTAGGTACAATACTTATTAAATATTTCAATATTCTATACACTAAAATATAAAAAAACATACAACATACACTCAACGCTTTTTGGCTTCATTCAAATTATCATACTATATTATTTAAACAATAAACTCATGGAAATGGTATTAAAACGACACACTACACAATTAGTCCACGACTATGAACAAACTTGAAGAAATAATGTATTACCTAACAAACATCTTTAAGTCATACAGTGAGTATCTCAATTACTAATCAAAATATATAAATAGTATATTGTAAGCCAGATGTGTCCTTTTATTTATTTATATACTTTCTAAATAATATATTTTTAGTTTTTAATATAACTGTTAAATATAATTTAGTTTAAAACTATTTACAATATAAGTAGATAAATATTTGCAATCCGGGTAGGTAATAGCTGTTATACAATGAAACTTCCAAAGTCCGAAGTCTCAGTAGGCAACAAAATACATTTCTGTTATAGATAAATTTATTAAATAGAATTAAATAAATTTGATTTTAATTTAATTAAAAGAAAGTTTTTCAGTAATATAATAAGTGATCTATGTAAATATGTACTATGACTTTATGATTTAGTCAATTTTTAATATGGGTAAAAAACAATGATTTTTTGCACACGGTTTAACTTCCTTAAAATAGTATTTTTGTATATTTATAGATAATATATTTTTAATTAAATTAAGTACATGCAATAGCCAAGAATTTGTACTTACCTACTTAAGAGTTTTGTATAAATTATTTTTTATATTATCAAAACAAATCAATTTTATAAATATACATAGCTATGTTTAAATACATCTAGCAACTTTTATTGCAATTTGTATGAATAGGACCTTAATGATGACAAATAATGAATAATGATAGATATAGTGATAAAATATTTATTATTATTTTAAATTTAGTAATAAACAATAGTAAATTATTGAACAATTACTATGAAAAATATTTCTCCAATTATGGGACTCACTAACCATAGGTATCTAAACATATTTTTTAATAAAAAAAATATCATATTTGAATTTAAGTAGGTATCTAAATAAAATGATACACATGAATAAATAAATAAAAAAAAATTAAATAAGAAAAGGAAATTGCGACTATTTTTTAATTAAGTTAAGAATGTATATAATTTGTGTATTAATTCACTTGTTGAAAGCAAATTACTCAAGAACCTCCTAGTTAATGATAGATATGTAGTTATTTAAAAGTAGCATTACCTTCTTATTTAATAAAAAAAAAAGTATAGAAGTAACACAAATATTTCCCGAGGTATTTCCAATTATTTATTTACTAGGTATTTAATTAGGTATATTCTTAGTATATTTATGAAGTACATCAGCCAAAAGAGTGTTTTGGGTATTAAAACATCCCTCCTCAAAGATACAAATATATAACTAGAAAATATGTTAAATGCAAAAATGCTTCAGGTTAGGTTAAAAATTAAAATAAGATTATATTTTTCATATATTTTATTTAAAGAAATATTCAAAAGTTAAATGTATTATATAATTTATTAATGCGACCATATGACTCCACAAAGGATGTATGAACAGCTACTTTCTAAGCTGCATTTAGATACTAAATTAAAACATTTCCCTTTAAAAAAATCCTAACTACGCACTTGATATTTTTATACTATATTTAAGTATATTTATATTGATGCATAGTAAACAATATGAGCTTAAGTATTTTAGGTAATCTGGTCTGTTAATCAGCAAATGTATATCATACATTTTTAGTTTTTAAATTAGCTAGATATGTAGGTGGGTACTCAAAATTGTTTAAGATTCTTTTTTGAAATTACATAATGAGTTTAAACAATTTATATGATAGTATACATTTACAATTAAATTTATGACTATAACAGTAATACGTGTTAAATTTTATAACCGGGACTATTTTTGAACATGAAACAAAAAAGGCATCTAATTAAATATATATCCAATAAGTCTAAAGATAGGTAATAGTATATCATTATAATATAAGTAGTCAATTATTAATTGTAAATCAATACAATTTTTGGTAATATTTAGTATATGATAAATTACCACTAGACCATTGAAATCTGTTGAACATGTTTTGTCAAGTGAAAGGGAAGACTGGACGATAAAAGGACAAGGTGATTTCAACGTTAATGTTAATACTAGAGCAATAGGTTTATGTGTTTACCTGAGGACTACCGATATCGTCATCGACTATTTTATCAGTTTCCATAGCAGTCACATTGTCCCTATCCATTTGACTGGGAGCCACATTGAACGCACAGCAACACTCATTCTTGCGACAACATCGGTGTTCGTTTAGTGGCTGGTGAAATTGATTGTAGTTGTCGTTGCCGATAGACTTGATGGAAAACAATTAATCGCACCGATGCGTTGTACACAGGAACCCGACAAAACACACGATTTCTGAACGATACACGCGCGCACACACAGCTAACACCCACTGACTCGAGGGAGCGCGACACGGCTGTGTTGTCGTCTGTGAAATGATAGCGTGAGGCGGCGGCGGCGACGGGTAATAAATAAAGCAAACGATAGAAAGAGTAAAATATGTTAAAGATTTAAAAAATTATTTATATCAAATACGAAAAACAATATTATTATTAATCTAATACAAACAAAAACAAAAACTGACAAGAATTATATTAATAATATTATTAGTGGTACTTATATCACCCGGGACGGTTACCGTGCGCACAGACTACAGTAGTACTAGTGCGGTGTACACGGGTTTACACGTACATAGAACTATTATATCAACATTCAATAACACGGTGGCGATTGGCGAATATCAGTCGAGCAAAATCATTTTCACTACAAACGAGAGAGACGGAGAATTCTGAGTTTTTCAGAATTTTTCGCGACACGAAATGGGTTTTAGGTTGACGGGTTGTTGTCATTACAGTGTGACCATCTCCGGGCGCAAAAAATATCCCGTATTTCTGTCTGTGTTCGCTGCCGACGTCGTACGTGTACCCAGCTACACGGGTTCGACGCCTTGAGTCTCGACCTCACCACTCATTAATTCGTATTCCTAGGCGTACGTATTGTACGTAACGTCCATCAGTCATATTATTGCATATTTACATAAAAATATCGTTTCCAATTTTCCAACACATGTAATATATTTAATTTCATGTGTTTCACCTTGACGGTTGGGTTTTTAAAATTCTTTTCTTTTTTTTCGAAAACTCGAAAACAAATATTACTAACCATACACAAATTATTTAAACGTTTTTATTCCGCCCGTTACTTTAATACCGTGGTACCAACCATCACGGTATTCAATCACTACTATCACACGACGTTACCGCTTTATTTTAATTTCTAGACAATACGATTTATATCAAATTGATGTGTCTAAAATTTAAAAAAATTGTAGGTTTTCGTATATTTTAATGGTGTTAAATTATTTATGCGATTAGAATAATTTGATTGATTATTAAATGCTAGTAATACTATGTACTATCATAAAAAGTTTTTTGTTTTTAGATTTTTAAGCTTTAACAATAGATTTAGGTATATATATGTATTCAACACACTTACTTTTTATTTAAAAAATTAGATTTTCTCTAACAAATTGTAGCATTGATAAAATATGTGCAGTTATAAATAGACAAATATCATTGTAATACGTCAATCAACGGAAAAAATCGAATAATTGCAGATATACTGGTAGGTACAAGCGCATACTAATAATAGTTAATATTTATTAACTTTACGTCATCCATATTCCATACTTGTAAGTTATAACACACACACAGATACATTTATTAGTCATAATCATGCAAACGTGCGGTTACTCATGATAACCATGGAATAATCTATAGTCATAACTTATAACGTCTATATCTTGTTTTGTACGATTTGCACATAATATGCTCATACCTATACTTATAAGTTATAAATTACGTATTTAGCTTATAAATAGTCATTTAAGTTCATGGCAATTTAACGAAAGTTAAACGATAAATATTTAATTTTAAAATAATTGATTTTTTTTATACAATAAAAATGTACACATTAGACTAAAAAATTTAATTTTTAATGTTCGATTTATGAATTAGTGTGATTATATTTTTTCATGAACAGATGATAGCAGTATCAAAATTTTAATGTAATACCTATTTAGTTTTTTTTTTAATATTAAAAATACTAAAATATATATTTTTTCTAAACGCACGCACCTGTAATCATAACGGTGTGTCGATACGAAAATTACTTTTGTAAGATTTTAAATATTTCCAAAAACTAAACGCTTAAGAAAAATTCTGGTTAGTGGTTATACAACATATTTAGTACGTAAAACTATGTTATAAACATATAACAAAAATAAGAAATATATTTTATAGGTAAGGAAACTATTGTTTAAAGCGATTAACTTTTAGTTTTTACGCGTATAAATTAGGCAATCAAGGCTCGCTTAGTCCAATCACGTTAGGTAGGTATGCGCATTTTTTAAATTTCTCATAACTCATTGAATAATTTGAGTAGAAATATTAAGCTAACTCCATTTTTTCTTAGAATTGAACTTTATACAGCTATTTTTTTTCGTTTGTGCTTCTTTGATAAAATACTTTACGTTTTCATTATTCATGTATTATATCAATAGGTAGTTGAAAATTTTTTTTAAAAAAAGATCACTTTTATCATTAAACCTGTTTAAAATCATCAAAATATTATTATTTGTGTTAGAAAAGTTTCTATTAATCTTAATTTTAATGACAAATCTGTAAAATATAAAGAGCTTCTAATATACACTATGGAATGACAAATGCGCATACCTCTATACTGCCAACAAAGTTTTAGTGGTTTGTATTTAGAGTTCTAAAACTAGCTGTTGTTACTTAAAAATTTTCATGCAATTTTATGTATACATCTTTGTCAAAAATTGATCTCTGATAGCCTGATATGACATGGAAAGAAATTGAGCCAAGTTCAAATTTTTTATCTAATGTGATTTGCGTAATTTTTAAAATAAATGCATTTTGTAATTTGTATACAGTTTACATAGGTAATAAAAATACTAAAATCAATATTATTATACATTAATACTCATGAGTCATGGATCACGATATACTGTATAAATTTTAAGTAAACACGAATTAAAAAAATTAATAATTACCAAATCTTTACATAATTTTTATGTAAGAAATAGTTGTGATTAAACGTCATCGAATGTACGCGTTTATCATTTAAATCTACATATAATGAGGTTACATTCTTTGACAGTTTTACCAGTTTAAATGTATTTAAGATATGCATCTGTTACATCAATTTTTATGTATATTATAAAAGATACATTTAATTTTCATGTATAAATTATCTATATAGTGATCTATGAGTTGGTGATAGAATATTCATTAAATTTTATAACTTAAAACATTTTCATTATACAAAATATAAAACATAAATAACTCTATTAACTCATACAGTATTATCATTATTCGTATTAGTAAATAATAATATTACACGAAATATTCTGCATATTATAAAACTTAATCCAAAAACAGTACCGCAACTTGGTATATATTGGTGGGTGTGCAATCAAATATTATAGGGCCCATAAAGTAAAAAAAATATTGCTTGCTGTTTGTAGTTAATAGTTCTATATATTATATACACTATATTTTACACAGTGGGAAAGAGCTAATAGTAGGCTGCGGCCCCTAAAACCGTTTATTTTCTTTCTCGTCCTACTTAAAATGCAATAAACCATCAGCCGTCACAACATAAAAAAATTAAAAATATAATGGTCAATAAGAATATAATATTAGTGGTGTTTATCAATTCATCTCTGTCATTTAAAATTATTATTTTTAATTATTTTATTATGATTATATTTAGGATTTTGTATAATAATAATAAATTATAGTTTTAATGTCATTATTAGCGTCTATTTTTTAATAAATAAATAATAAATAATAAAATAGTACTTTATGAAATACTTTAATGATTAAATTTATTAAACACTATTTTAATGATAATTAATATATATCTATGTATAATTAATAATTTATATAAACAACAAAATTTATATTAATTAAATATGATTAATATAATTTTTATATCTACTTTAAAAGTGTTTCCTTGCTTTTTGATTTGCAAAAGTTTCAATCATCTGATCATTATTTAATTTATTCAATTAGTGGGTACATGCTCATTGAATGTTTAAAATGCTTATGTTTATAAGACGTTCTTGAGTAATTGAATTTCGTAAATAGTTGTTTATTAATTTGAGGAAAAAATCGTTTTACCGATGCAACAATAACAGGTAGAGATAAAAAATTATGTAAGCAATAAGTATTTCATTAAAAAATGTTGAAATATAATTTTCAATATTATACAAATTACAAAGATAATTCATCTATAATTTTTTTTTTTTATTTCAGTTATATTTAGTTATAAAAAAATTAAGTATAATAATTTAAGTAAAATTTAGATAAAAATAACTTGAATATGTGATTATTATGATTATATAATATTATACTTATGGGTATTTTGAAAGTCATGAAAAGTACTAAATAAATAATAATGGATTTAATCAAACTAGACGTGTACGATAAATGTTGTATTTTAGTACACAAAGTGAACGACCATGTTGTGAAAAAAATTATACGATGTTAAATTAGAGTGACCTACACTTCATAAAAAAGTGACCATTTTCAATTTTGTGAAATAATTTCGAATTTTACAAAGTGTAAAAAATCTGTTTCCATTTCATAAAATGTTCATCTTTTCATGAAAAGATCGATTTAAGAGGACGTCGTACCCGCATATGTTGTCTCCGTCTTACAAATGCGTGACATGGCAAATAGTACTCTCAGAAGATCACGTTTAGCTCCTTCAGCTTGAAAATTAGAATGAATTGACCTCTTTTGAAATTTAAAAGTGAGATTATTATCTAGGGCATCTCATAGGCTTTTTATTATATTTTAATTTTAAAGTGAGTTATGTGTGTTTTAAGACGTGCAAGCAATTTACAATTTTAAAAAAATACTCATAACTTGCTTTAAAATTAAAATATAATAAAAAGCCTATGAGATGCCCTAGATAATAATCTCACTTTTAAATTTCAAAAGAGGTAAATTCATTCTAATTTTCAAGCTGAAGGAGCTAAACGTGATCTTCTGAGAGTACTATTTGCCATGTTACGCATTTGTAAGACGGAGACAACATATGCGGGTACGACGTCCTCTTAAGGAAGTGGTTACGATATATTCTTACTTTAGCATCATTATTGATTTTTACAAATGACCAGTTTTTTTTTTTGTTGCTTTGGATTAGTTATAGGTTAATGGTTATTCAATTAATTCTTTTTCTTTCAATTGCCGTTTTTCAGTGATACTTTCGAGCTCATTGCTCATAGATTTTTTAATTAATTATAAAAAAACAACAACACGCTAATTGATGGTAGATATAATTAATATTGACTATTATAATATTATATATAAATATAGGTATTATTAGTGTGCACAGCGTACGGTGCGCGCAGTATAGCTGCTACCTACAATTTACTAATACACTAGAAAGTTCAATGGGCTGTGTGATTTTACTTTGAGAAATTGAGAAATATCAATAATATTTCGTAATTTTATATAAAACTATAAATGTGAAAATTCAAAATATGTTTTTTGTACGATCATTATTTTTCTGTGTATGTTGTATTGTTATAAGTTGATGTAAATGTGACTATCTTTATAGTACATCTATATAAGCGTGTTAGGCGTGTCTTGCTGGTTGCATGGTGCGATAAGCTATTCTTTTATATATTAATATACGTTAATATACAAAAATCTTCCAATTTATTTTCTATGTAAACACATTTATTATTATCAGTATTATTGAATAATAATGCTCCCAGATAGCCTAAAAGAAACTTTTATTTTTC